ATCTTGTCTTGTCTACCACTCATGCCATTGAGGCATTGAGGACCTCCTTCAGACCCCGCCAGACTGGTGGATAACGAATGCCCGAGGGACTGGTTACCAAGCCTTCCAATGACATGACCCGCCCCCTCCCCCCCCCCAGTGCTAAACCCTGCTACATTGTTGCCATAGAAACTAGCCAACCACCCACAAGACTGGGGGGTGGAGGGGATCTTAACCCAGATCACTGGGATAAGGCCAGACCTCCAAGACACTGCCCTCCCGGATGCAGAAATGCCTGTGTTCACTGATGAGAGTAGCTTCATGGCGGATGGGAGGAGGTATGCAGGAGCTGCGGTGCTTTCTCCCCAACAGGAACTTTGGAAGGAGTCCCTGCCTCAAGGGACTTCAGCACAAGAGAGTGGAGATGATTGCACTCACCAAGGCTTTGCAGAAGACTGTCAACATCTACAGAGACAGCAGGTATGCTTTTGCTACTATCCATATACATGGAGCCATCTATAAAGAAAGGGGTTGCTGACAGCAGAAGGGAAAGGAATTAAAAACAAAGAAGAGATATTAAGTCTTCTGCGGGCTATTTGGGACCCAAGAGAAGTGGCCATTATGCATTGCCCAGGACACCAAAAGGAAACTGATCTAGTTTCAAAAGGAAACCCATTAACAGATCGGGCTGCAAAACAAGAAGCACAGGAAACGGCACAGGAACTAGTTGCACTCCCAGCTCCAGTCCTACCAGAAAAACCAGTTTACTCAGAAGAAGACTTAAAATATCTACAAGGATGGGAGAAGCTAGAATATGAAGGGAACTGGGCTAGGATTAGGACAGGAAAATTAGTCCTTCCCTGAAGACTAGGCAGGAAGCTAGTGAACCAGTTACACCGGAGCACACATTTAGGGTCACGCAAACTCAAGGAACTTGTGGGAGGGCAATTTCAGGTTTCTAAGCTAGACGTATGACTTGGGATGTGGTGACGGATGTGCTCAGTGCCAAGCGGTAAATGAAGGAGGGACCAGGATGGGAAGAGGAAGGAGAGAGAGAGAGACAAGGAACCAGGGATCTACTGGGAGGTAGATTTTATGGAGATGAAAAGAAAGGAAAGTATGGGCATAAGTATATGCTCATCTTTGTGGACACCTTTTCAGGCTGGGTAGAAGCATTCCCCACCAAGCATGAAACAGCAGGGGTGGTGGCTAAACGGTTACTAGAAGAAATAGTTCCTAGATTCAGGTTGCCTCTCATGATCAGGTTGGGCCCTGCATTTGTGAGTTCAATCTCACAAGCAGTCTCCAAGGCTGTGGGCACGAATTGGCAATTACAATGTGCCTATCGGCCCCAGGGTTCCAGACAAGTAGAAAGAACGGACCAAACTCTTAAGGAGACCTTATCAAAATTAATTCTGGAGACTGGCGGTGGAGGGGTGGATCTCCTTCCCTTTGCTCTTCTCAGGGTACAGTGTACACTCTACTTGAGCAAAATTACCCCTTTTGAGATGTTTGGGAGACACCTCCCCCCCCCCCACTCTGCCCACGACTACAGGAAGTTGCCTCAGCAGAAATGACTGATCAGTCTGTACTCCAGTCACTACAGGCACTACAAACTGTCTTAAAGAAAATCCACGCAGGGGTCTGAGCCACACCCCTGCCAGCCTGGTGACTTGGGTCTGGATACATGGCCATCAGGTGGGGAATTTGGAACCTCGCTGGAAGGGACCATTTACTGTCATCCTGACCACCCCCACGGCAGTGAAGGTAGAAGGCACCAGAACCTGGATCCACGCCTGCCACATCAAGTGGGCTGAGGAAGAGGACGCCCCTCAGAGATGGAAGCCGCTGCCAATGGACCCCACCGATCACGGACTGAAGCTAAGACAAAAAACCATGACTTTGTTGTTACTCTTACTGTTTCTTTTATTGTTGACTAATGGTAACAAGAACTTCTGAGTCACCTTATATGACAGAGAAATACCTGTGGGAGATTAGACAAGCAGAATTGGGAGAGGTAGGAAAAGTAGTGCAAAGTGGTGAATGGCTGACTCACCAAACCATACAATTTAATGTAACCTTGTGCCAATTGGTACCCATTAGCCCTTGTTTAGATGCCCTACAGTTCTACATGTGCCTGAACACCGCACCTCCCCAGTGCAGTGGGAGAGGGCTCGGGGGCCCACCAGAGTATTATTGTGCTGAGAAGGGATGTGAAACAATTGCGCCTGGATGGGGAAAAGACAAGGATCCCTATATAAAGATTGGGCACGTTAGAACTGGAGGATGCCAGCCATGGATTGACTGGACCAAGTTGGTATCTAACCCGTGTACCAGGAACTTTATAAAGGTGGTAGGCCCCAAAGACGCCGATGGGATTATGGCAGATCTTGGAATCTTAGGTATTATGAAGCTGGCACAGACAGAGGTGGGCAATTCACCATCCAGAGAATTAAAGTTCAAGAACCACCCTGGCCTATAGAGCCAAACCCAGCTCTGAAGCCCCCTGAACCATCAAAAACAAGGCCCTCCACCACAACCGCCCTTACCTCGACAGTCTTAAGGAACAAAAACAATGGTGACAGCGTTAGTGCTGCCAAGGTTTTGCCCCTGTTGGTAGATTCAACTTTTAAATGCTTCGAACCCTAATATCACTCAAGATTGCTGGCTATGCCTAAACCCTAAGCCCTCATACTATACTGGAATAGGAGCCAACCTCAAAATAGGGACCAGAAAAGGACAAATTAAAAATGAGAGTTCTGCAGGGCCGGTGGCTCATGCCTGTAATCCTAGCTACTCAGGAGGCTGAGATCTGAGGATCGCGGTTCAAAGCCAGCCAGGGCAGGAAAGTTCGTGAGACTCTTATCTCCACCCCCCCAATACACCCCCCCCAGAAAACCGGAAGTGGTGCTGCGGCTCAAGTGGTAGAGCACTCGCCTTGAGCTGAAGAGCACAAGGACAGCACCCATGCCCAGAGTTCAAGCCCCACAACCGACCAAAAAAAATTATAAAAAATTAGAGTTCTTACAACTCATGTGAGTGGAGGAAGGTCCCCAAACTAACTTTGGGAAATACAGAAGGAAAGGGACTTTGTTTGGCAATAGAGATAGGGAAACAAACGTCCCCATATAGAGACAATAGTCCCACTGCCTTCACCAATTTCCTTAAGGCTCCTACAGGGACCTGGTTTGCTTGCAGCTCAGGGATTACGCCATGTCTTAATCTTGCTCTATTCCTAAACTGCTCTTGGAATGAGCTCTGTATAACTGCCCACATTCTTCCCCAAATAGATTATTATGGGGGACCCGTGGGGTTTGAACATCTTACTGCAGGGTTGGGACAGATGAAGCACGCAGTCCCCAACCTAACTTGTCATGGCAGGGATAGCGGGATCCACAGCAATGGGAACTGCTGCCTTGATAAAAGAGAAGGCAGATTTTTGAGGCTCTCTGATCCCAAGTAGATGCTGACCTGCGCCATATGCATGAAAATATAGACAGGCTAACTGATTCCCCGAGCTCCCTACCTGAAGCAGTTCTGCAAAACAGAAAGGGGCTTGATCTACTGTTTCTGAAAGAAGGGGGGGGGGGGAATCTGCATAGCCCTAGGGGAAAAAATGTTGCTTCTGGGTAAATCATACAGGAGTCATCAAAAACTGTCTGGCAGCTATTAAAAAGAGACTAGACAAGCGTGAGCAGCAATATAGAAGATCCCAAGAGTGGTATGAGAGTTTATTTGACTGGTCCCCATGGATGACCTCCTTGATATAGGCAATTGCAGGACCTCTGATCCTACTGTTATTAATGTTAGTTTGGCCCCTGTATTGTTAATGCCTTAATGTCATTTATACAGAAGAGAATAGGAGCAGTAAAGATGTTAATCCTACAAGCTCCATGTAGCCCCCTACAACAAGAAGGCCTAGAGTTGGTAGAAGAGTCAAGGCATTGACTCATTTTTCCAAAATAAGGGGGGAATGTAGAGACCCCTTTACATCCTCCCTACTCCTACACCCTGAGTTCAAGACCCATGACCGAAAAAAGGAAAATAAATACATAGATATAGATACAGCAGAGCGCCTGTGGCTCACGCCTGTAATCCTAGCTACTCAGGAAGCTGAGATCTGAGGATCGTGGTTCAAAACCAGCCCAGGCAGGAAAGTTCCTGAGACTTTTATCTCCAATTACCCACCAGAAAACTGGAAGTTCAAGCCCCATTACAACAACAACAAGATATATACATATACATATATAGCTAGGCAGCTATAGATATCTATGTATATAATGAATTTAACAGTCTTCTAAAGCATTTCCAGCCTTTCAAAAATTATTTTGAACCTTTTAATGTACATATGTGTACATCTTTGTACCGTGTTTCAAAATATGACATAGTTAAAATTTTGAACATTTAGGCAACCTTTCTGCCCTTCATCTATTCTCACCATCAAACCTCAACTGTGAACAAAAATCCCTTCCTCTGTAATTTCTTCCTAGGAAATGAAAGGGATATTGTACATAAACTGCATGCATTAAGTTAATATATGCTCACTTTTGTGCAATTTAGCACCAATATACTCTCAAACAGATATGGGTAGCCGGAGGCCGGTGGCTCACGCCTGTAATCCTAGCTACTCAGGAGGCTGAGATCTGAGGATCACGGTTCAAAGCCAGCCCCGGCAGGGAAGTCCATGAGACTCTTATCTCCAATAAACCACTCGAAAACCGGAAGTGGCGCTGTGGCTCAAGCGGTAGAGCGCTAGCCTTGAGCTGAAGAGCTGAGGGACAGCGCCCAGGCCCAGAGTTCAAGCCCCTTTTTTGACCAACCCCCCAAAAAAAGGTATGGGTAAGAACTTCAGCACTTGCAACTTAGGTTGCAAGTGGCTTTCTAGTCTACTTGCATACTTCAGGTAGTAGGTTCCTTAAGGTGGCCTGAATGAGGCTCTGGGAGGTCAATGAGCCTCGGAAGGCCGATGGGGAATTGTCTGGGAGGAGTGGGACAAGTGCCTGGGGACCCTCATTGCTCACCTTGACCTCCTGCCGCCCGTCCTCGGGATCCCAGTGGGATCTCACCCCCTCTGTCGCCGGCTTTTTCGGGGCCAGGCTCCTCTTCCTCCCCTCGATGGGGTGTGCCTCCAAACCTTTCCTTCTCTGGCTCCACGAAGCGTCAGGGAGAGAACAGCGCCCGCTGGGGAAAGGGCCGGGAGCAGGCTCCTTTCTTCAGGAAGGGCCGACCGCAGGGCTCTGACAGTGGATAGTCTCCCCAAGCGGGGGCACCCCCATCGCTCTTCCCCGCGGCTGCGGCCCCCGCGGCGCCCCACAGCTCCCCCTTCCACAGGCTCCCCACGGACACCATCGCTGGCAAGAGGAAAAGCGACACTTCCGAGCGGCGGCCTCGCCCGACATCACGCTCCCCGCCGCCGACTACCCCGAAAGTGCAGAAGAAAAGCAGCAGCAGCGCGGGAAGGAAGGGGCAGACCAACGCCGCCCCGTCAGCCGCGCCGCTATTTGAGCGGACCGGAAGTGCTCAGGAGGAGACTTCCGGGAGTGCCACGGACGACTTCCGGGCGGGAGTGTCAGCTCGCCGCCGCCCCTCAGCGCCGCCAGTATTTGAAAGGACCGGAAGTGCCCCCGGAGGAGTCCCGGGAGCTGGATTTAAAAGGAGGCGGCGCGTCAGGGATGGCGACCAAGCGGCTGGCCGGGTACGCTAGCGGGGCTTCTGGCACGGGGAAAGAAAGGGTCGCCCTTGGCCGGGTTCTAAGGTCCGCGGCAGGGATGGGTAAGCAGCCTCAGCTGAAAGGCCCTTGACTGGTACTTGGTCTCGAGCCCCAGGCCGCCCCTCCACCATGGCTTCTCCCCTGCTTGGCCTCGAACCTGTGTCCACCTATTTTAGGCCTTGGATGTTACAGCGCGCTGTATAGTCTCAGGCCGGTGCACTCGTCCAGCTATTCGAGTCACCTCCTAGTGACCCGTCTCATGCATAATGGACTCTACCTAGCATATTGCCTTGGGAGTGTTTTATCATAGATTACCTTGCAGCGGGTTTATGAACGTCTCGTTTCTTTACTCAGATTTTTTAAGTGTCCTAGAAGATTTAAAAAAAAAAGGTTTTGTGTTATTCTGGCCTCAGAACTGTTATATACATAACAAGGACTTGAAAAATGCTAGAAAAATCAACTTTTTTAGTGCATCTTTACAGTAGCTCAAGTTCCTTGGGATTGCTGTAAAGAATAGGAAGGGCAGGCAAAATTTGACAAAGGGTACTTTAAGGATCATGATAGGGAAAATATGTACTAAAATTAAAAAGTGATTGCAATTAGTCCAAGAACCCAGGTCCTTTCCTCCTAATTTTATCCAATTTTATTTCCCTTGAGTCGTAGTATGTTAATGACTAATAGTCTAAGACTATTATTTGGTAACTTATTCAAACAGGAAAGTGAATGAAGTCACTGATTATATTGGATCGTTTTGCACTTTTAGGCAGCTTGGATTGATTAGGAGAAAATCAATTGCACCAGCAAATGGGAATCTAGGAAGAAGCAAATCCAGTAAGTAATGTGTACATTGTGTCTTTTCATGTTGTAGCTGTGCACTTTCAACACTGATAAATCATAAGAAACCCTGATCTTTTACAGAGCAGTTGTATGACTACTTAATTGTCATTGATTTTGAGTCTACATGCTGGAATGATGGGAAGCACCATAATAGCCAGGAAATAAGTAAGTCTGGACTGCCAGTGACAAAAAATTAGCTCTCATATGAATTGTTTATAAGTTTATAGATGTAAATCAGCCAACAGTTTAAGAAAATAAGATGTCTATAAATGTTAGTTTAATATAAAACCTGTCAATTAAAAAACAAAATCCTGCCGGGCGCTGGTGGCTCACGCCTGTAATCCTAGCTACTCAGGAGGCTGAGATCTGAGGATCACAGTTCAAAGCCAGCCCGGGCAGGAGAGACTGTGAGACTCCTATCTCCAATAAACCACCAGAAAACCGGAAGTGGCGCTGTAGCTCAAGTGGTAGGGCGCTCGCCTTGAGCTGAAGAGCTGAGGGACAGCGCTCAGGCCCAGAGTTCAAGCCCCATGACCGGAAAAAAAAAAAATCCTCTTATATCTTAATTGTTTTAAGATTTCATATATATTTACATATTTATATATTATATTGTATATATTTATCTTATATATTTTAATAATTTTTGTTATTTATTTACTTATTTATTTTGGTCAGTCCTGGGGCTTGAACTCAGGGCCTGGGCACTGTCCCTGAGCTTCTTTTGCTCAAGGCTAGCACTCTACCACTTGAGCCAAAGTACCACTTCTAGCTTTTTCTGTTTATGTGGTACTGAAGAATTGAACCCAGGGCTTTTTGCATGTTAGGCAAGTACTCCACCACTAAGCCACATTCCCAGCGTATTATATATATATTTATATAATACATATTTATATTTTGTTACAGATATATAACCTTAATTGCATAGAAACAAAAAATCATCAGAAAAATGGAGTACAGTTCAGCATCCATATGCTCTTCATATTTAAGTGTAGAAATATAAATAAATGTACACTTGCTTAAGTATTTTGATATTTTTTTCTTTGGCATGGCTTAATTATAACTTTACCACCTTGCTTGGATCATTCTGTTTTTAAAACAGTTTATAGCAATGCTACTAGTAGAGTAGTACATTTAACTACTAGTATGGTTACAGTATTAATTTGTACATTATATACATATATATTTTTTTAATTCATTACTTTGTGTGCCAGTCCTCAGTCTGGGTGCTGTCCTTGGGCCTTTTTGTTTTTTTTTACCCAAGGCTAACACTCTACCACTTGAATCACAGCTCTACCTTGAGCTTTTTGCCAGTTAATTGGAGATAAAAGTCTCATGGACTTTCTGTCTAAGCTGGCTTCCAACCCCAGTCTTCAGATCTCAGCCTTCTAAGTAGCTAGGAATACAGATAAGAGTCATTGAGACCAAGCTACACATTGCATATTTGTGTTGTTGTTCTTTCATTTAGTTGAATTTCCAGCAGTCTTGCTAAACACATCAACTGGAAGGATTGAATCCGAATTTCATGCTTATGTTCAGCCCCAAGAACATCCAGTTCTTTCTGAATTTTGCATGGAATTGACAGGCATAAAGCAGGTATGCTGCAAGTTTTTAAATTCAGAATTTGGTTTCATAAAGGAAAAAGAAAGCTATTATTATTAAGAGGATATTCTTATGAACATGAAGATCAGTACAAGGGGTATATAGATCAGTATTAAGATGCTTCCCTAGTTTATATGATGCTCTAGAGTTGATCCCTCATACCATAAGAGACAGAGGAAATCAGATTTACTTTATGGAAATTAAATGACTCAAATTTGTCCTTTTTTGTGTGTGTCAGTAAAAATGTAACAACTTATCAGCCTAATTTTCCTTACTGTAATTCTAATTACAGGATTTCTCTCTTTTTAACTAATCTTTTCACTAGATGTTCACTCTGCCCATTAGAACTTTATTATATAATTATTGTACATGCTTGATATCATGGAATTTGATTGTTGAGTTCAGATTTTATGGATCTCTAATCAGGCTCAAGTTGATGATGGAGCGCCTCTGAAAATTTGTTTATCTCAATTCTGTAAGTGGATCAATACGATTCAACAACAGAAGAAAATTACATTTGCGACTGGAGTTTCTGAACCTTCTGCTTCTGAAGTAAAATTATGTGCATTTGTTACTTGGTCAGGTAAAAATATGAGTTGTACTTGCAAATCACAAAAGGGTAGCAGTACCACTGTGTAATTCATTTGTTTAATGATTGATTTATTCTATTAGCCTATTTTGGTGGTAAATGGGAACTTCATTGTTATATTTCTACACATGCATGCAATATATGCTAATCAAATTGGCCCCCCTCTATCATTCTCCTTTATTTTTCCTCTCCCTTCTTCAAACAACTTTAATAAGTCTTATTCTTCTACTTTCATAGAAGCTTATAAAGTACTTTAACCGTATTAAATCTTTTACTGTTCACCCTTCCTTGTTCATCCTTCTGCCACCTCACACTGGTATCCATCCCCACTATATAATTCCTTATTTTTACTTTTAATATTTGTTTATCATAAAATTATACTAGTTAACCTCTTGGGTTAGGAAAAGAAATTCAAGTGCCTGTTTCTAAAATCCTGATTTGGGGATACCTGAAAATTTAAGTCTATAGAAATATTTCTACCTGGAAAAGGTGACAGGATGTGCCTGCAATCCCCACTATATAGGATGCTGAGGCATAAGGATAGCTCGAGTAGAAAAATTTGAATTCAGCTTGTACAAAATAGTGACCTCCTGACTTTATTAAGAGAAACAGAAGAAAAGAGGAGGGGAGGAGAAAGAGAAGAATGTTGAGATTTCAGGCTTGGTCACCAAATCTTTTATGCTTTGACCGCTTTCTAATATAGACATCAAGGGAAAAAAAGTAAGCCATTTAAAGTAGGCCTTTTGTATAACTATGATAAAGGATTGACATTATTCATGGATAATAGTGTTTTACCCTTGGTAGTACAGACTGATAGTCATATTTGGCTTTAAGTTTCCAAAAAAGTTTGATTTTCATAATACAGTATTTTTCTAGAATATAGAAAAATATAGGCTTTATAATTTATTAATTTAAGTAGGATTTTGCTGAAGGTTCAAGAAATACCTTCTTGGATTGGGAGTGTAGCTCAAGTGGTACAGCATCTACCTAGTCAGTACAAGACTCTGAGTTCAAACCCTAGTACCACCAAGAAAAGAAAGGAAGGAAGGAAAGAAGGAAGGAAGAAGGAAGAAAGAAGGAAGGAAGGAAAGAAAAGAATGACAGGTAGGGAAGAAGGAAGAGAGGGAGATGGAAGTAAGTTCTTAAAACTTAGTACCAGTGTTACTTTATAATAAACTGCTGTTCTATTTTATATCATCGTTCATAGTTTGTTAATGAAAAATGTTGACATCATTGACTTTGTTCCATTTTAATATTTAATACAGACTGGGACTTAGGAGTTTGCCTAGAGTATGAGTGTAAAAGAAAGCAACTTTTAAAACCTTTGTTTTTAAATTATTGGATTGATCTCAGAGCAACTTACAAGGTAAGAGTGAAAAATTGGGGTAAGTGCGCTTTCCTTTTATTGAAAATGATTGCATTTTATTCTATGCATATGTGTGGGTTTCTTCAAATGAGATATTTTCTTTTGGAGTGTTCATTTAAATATATGTCTTAAAAATATTTAAAGATAACACACAAAATCAGCCCATTTCAAATAGAAGTAAGAGTCATGAGAAATAATTGGTTAATACATACCCTTCTAAATAGTAATTCTATTTTTAGGTATGTCTTCTTCCATTTCATTAGCTTTTCTACAGGAGAAAACCAAAAGGACTAAGTGGTGCCTTGCAAGAAGTGGGAATAGAATTCTCAGGAAGGGAACATTCTGGTTTGTATAAACTTTTTTTGGGGGGTTGGTTGTGGGGCTTGAACTGGGCCTGAGTGCTGTCCTTGAGTTCTTCAGCTCAAGGCTAGCGCTCTGCCACTTGAGCCACAGTGCCACTTCTGGTTTTCTGGTGGTTAATTAGAGATAAGAGTCTCTCATGGACTTTCTTGCCCAGGCTGGCTTTGAGCCGCAGTTCTCAGATCTCAGAACTGTATCACTAAGCCACATTGCCAGTCCTGTAATAAGCTTTTTTTTTTTTTTTAATAAGTAGTTGTACAAAGAGGTTTCAATTCTCTTAGTCAGATTTTGAGTATGAAAATACAAAATTTCATTTTATTATGAATTATTTTATTATATAACTTATTTGGCTTGTGAAAATTTTTATATGAATCTTATTTTTGGGAAATGCCATTAATAAAGGATATCTTTCAGCCAAAAAAAAAACACCCTACTACCAGGCACTGGTGGCTCATACCTGTAATCCCAGCTGTTCAGGAGTATGAGATCTGAGGATTACAGCTCAAAGCTAGCCCAGGCAGGAAAGTCTTTGAGCCTCTTTCCATTGAACTACCACAAAAAACAAACAACAACAACAACAAAAACCTGTTTCTGATTTTTAGATTTCCTATTTATGAGCTATTTAAGATAAAAACTGCCATCTAGTGGGCTTTCTAATTGCTGAAATAAGTGAAAATCAAATCAAATGGAAATTAAACAAGACTACTAAAAAAAACCTGAACATAACTACTGAAAAATTATGGTCATACAGAATTCAGCTCACTTTTTTGGATACTGCATAACAAATTTTCACGCCCTTCTCTAAAGATGAGAAAGATGAAAGATTTTTATCTTACATTGGGAATGCTGCCACTGCTTTCCACAGACCAATTTATTATGATTGAAATTAGTTAGGGGACATAAAGCTAACAATATGCTTCAACTTCTATTTAAAAAGTAATCTTTTTCTTTAGTTTTTTTGTTTTTTTGTTTGTTCTTTTTTATTTTTTACACGTAGCACTACTAAATTCAGTGTTTAATATCAATTTCCCTAGGGTTAGATGATTCCCGGAATACTGCTCTTCTTGCTTGGAAAATGATCAGGGATGGCTGTCTAATGAAAATTACAAGGACCATCCATAAGGTTAGTGGTGTCTCATCACTTTATTCTCTCATCTCAAACTCCATAGTAGTCATAAGTTCATTGAAACTGGATTTCATGTGGACAGTCATTTGTAACCAATGTCGTTTTTCTTTTTGTCATACAATGTCTACTGAAGAAATTATAAATGCACAATTTCTAAAGTTGTTGGATTTGTCTATGGAATCATAGGTTCCTACTAAGAAGAATTCCAACATTTCGGCCAGAAATGTCAATATAAATCAAGTTGAAGAAACATCTACTTACAACATTTGCACCCATGGTCCTAGCATATATGAAAAGAATCCTAAAATTACAATAAATGTCCATGAAAAAGATCAAATAAGCTCAGTTTGTGTGAATTCCCATATAAAGGCACAGAAGGATCAATTACAAGTAAAGAGTGATATAAAAGCAGGTCTTCAAAATGCCAAAAGTTGCTTACCTCTTTGTGATACTAAACCCTCTACTTCTTTGGGACAATTACTATCTCCTACCTTGAATTCACCTCTCTACATACAGAAACAAAGAAAAAGTGTCCATTTTGCATTTAATGCCAAATCTAACTCTTCCACATTGGGACCTGAATTGATACGTGTTGCCACTACCATTCCATCGGTTGTTAATCATGTTTCTGATAAGGAAATTAGTTCTGCTCTTGACTGTTTACCTATGTTGGTTGATTGGGAAGATGCAATTTTACTGCCTGCATCTCAGCCTGAGCAAAATAAAGATTGTACGCCTCCTATTGATGATACAAACTTAGACATTTTATTTAATTCTGGAGAAAGACTGGTGGATTTAAATGAATCAGAAATGTTAAGTCATGAAAACTTTAGAGACAGTAAAGAACCTCCTGAAAAAATTGAGACCTCTAAGTCTGTTGTGTATAAGAGCCTTCACACTACCATTTATAACGTAAAAGAATCCAAACATTTAGATTCAGATGTTTCTGCCTTTAAATTACCTGAACACAAATCATGTGCCTTCAGTAATGTTAATGCCAGTGTATCGAACCCGATGGTTTTGAGAAAACATGCTCTTGTTTTAGATAGTACTAAAAGGAACTCATCTAGTTCCCCAGCTTTCCCACCAGCAAAAAAACAGACTTTCACTATTCATGAAGAAAAATCTATGTCATCTGATAGCTCCCCCATAAGGAGTCCTTCCTGGAACATTCTCCCCTCTATATTAACATCTACAGTTAATGTAAAAGAGCCTTGGAAGAGTACAAAAATGACACCTCCCTTATGCAAGTGTGGCCGAAGATCTAAGAGACTTGTTGTTTCTAATAATGGACCAAACCATGGAAAAGTCTTCTATTGTTGCCCTATTGGAAAACACCAAGAAAACAGAAAGTGTTGTGGTTATTTTAAATGGGAACAAGCACTTCAAAAGGAAAGAGCCAACAGCATTGTTCTATCTCATTCCACAGGGGAACTCACTTTTCACTCTCCAGAAACAAGACATACACATGACAGAAATTTAAGTTTTTCTACTAAAAATTCTTTGAAACTCAGGCCTTCAATGAGAAATTGACAAAATTTCTTTACATCTGAAGTATGTTTTTACTTTTCATATAAATTCTATTTGACTTTTCGCATAGGAAAGATAAAAAGTATAGGGTTATAAGATAGCATATCTGAGCTCTATACACACATACTAACTAAAAAGAGAAAATAACTGTCAGAACTTTTCCCTTCACCAAATTATTTACCAATTGTCTTCTGTTTATATGTGTGTGAATCCTAATTGTTCCTTAAATTCCAAAACATGAGTATCCTAATACCTTGTATAATTTTATTTATATTTTATTATACTTGTTTTAAAGAACTACAAATAAATATTTCTGTAAACTGTATTTATTAAGTTAAGTATAATTAAGCAATAGTAGTACATGATACCTTTTCTAGTTAACCTTGAAACAAATTTTAAATTTTTTGAATGAAAATTTGATGAATAAAAACCCTATTTTCAGGAATACACTGAGAATTATAAGTTTTATTTCAAGGCTTAAAGATTCATCTGTTTATCAATATACTTGAACAATTAAGGTCTAAAAAAACAAATGGATCAGAGATTTGATTTGGAAACGGTTTCTGTGTTCTAGATATTACAATTCTAGGCTGGCTGCTGATGGCTCATTGGAAGGTGGAGATAGGGAAGCTTGTAGATTGAGGCCAGCCTGGACAAAAAGTTCAAGATCTCAATCTTAACCAATAGCTTGGCACAGGTGTATATGTGTGTGTGGAGGGGCGGGGGGGCGTGCCTGATGAGGTTCTGCAATCAGGAGGATGGTTCCAAGTCAGCCCAAACACAACTGTTTACACCCCATCCCAACAGAAAAGCTCGATATAGTGGATGTGCCAGCCATCCCAATGAGAGTGGGAAGGACAAATAGGAATATTGTGGTCCAGATCAGTCCAGGCAAAAATGGAGACCCTGCCTTAAATTGTCAGAGCAAAAAGGGATAGAGTATGGCTCAAGTGAGAGAGTGCCTGTCCAGTAAGCATAAAGCTTTTAATTTAAGCCCTAATACACCACACACACACATACACACACACACACACACACCCTTCCTCTGTGATTTTTTTTTGTCACCAAACTACAGGAACATTGACACTAATGCAAAAGGATTTAGTGGGTGCTGATTTACAAATGCAGCCTCTGGTGTCAAAATAATTTTAGAATACACAGTTTAGAAGTATACAGACAACATTTCTGTGACCTCTTTATAATCTTGTGGTTTCTACAGATGTTATAGAATCTTTGATTATGATGAATTCACGTTGTATTCCATTCTTTGTTCCTCAGTTCACTTCTTTTTATCTTCCCACTGATAGTCTTTGGCAGCTCTTCAATAAATTCTATCTGTTGTTATTCAAGAGGATGAAAATTAGTCTAGAAATTTACAACTTTGATAAGGCTGATAATATACTAAGTAATATAGGGCACCCATTGGTGAGAGGTATTGTTGAGATTTTTCTTTATGTTTAGTAATTATTGTAATTCCAGTGAGCCAAATGACCAAGCAAATTAATTGAGGAGCTTCACTTTAACCTAAAAAATTCTGATATATCCATCTATCATTCTCTATTTAAGACATTTTGTGTAGTATATTTAATTAAAATAAGTAGCTGAAAATTTTCCAAAACAATAAATAAATGTTAATCCTCATTAGGATACCTACCTTTCTGGGATATTTGTAAGGTGCTGTGGTCTTTTTTACATGCTCCTGGATCTCTACTTTTAACTGTTCTTGGTCTTGTGACTTGTAATCAGGATTCAGAACAATAAAAGCCTTTACTACCTAAAATAAATATTTGAAATATCAGACATGAGTTGTGGTTTTTTTATGTTTTAGTATACCTTGCCTGATTTTTCTACCTGAACCAAGGCTGAATCCCAGTCCTGTGCACTTTAGTCAGAAAATTGATATGGACCCCTTGCTTTGTTTATTAAAGTACTTAGATCCATGCATCATTTTGAAATCTGTTTTTAATTTTGTCTTTGCTGGTACTGGGGTTTGTACTAAGCCTTACACTCATTTGACTTGCTTGTTCATAGCTGGCACTCTACCACCACTTGAGCCACCCCTCTATCCCAGCTTTTTGTTGATTGTTTTGGAGATGAGTCTCTGACTATTCTACCCAGGCTGGCCTTGAACTGTAGCCCTCTGGATCTCAACCTCTTGAGTAGCTAGGATTATACATGCCTGCGTCACCAGTACCCAGATGAAATCTGGTATGTAGAGGGAGAGAGTGTTGCGTGTTTGCACAAACACATATTAGTCCTAGGGCTTGAACTCAGGGCCTGGGCTCTGTCCCTGATTTCTTTTGCTACATGTTAGCACTGTAGCACTTGAGCCACAGTGCAACTTCCAGCTTTTTCTGTTTATGTGGTACTGAGGAATTGAACCTAGGGCTTCATGTATGCTAGGCAAGCACTCTACCATTAAGCCATATTACCAGCCTTTTTTTGTTATAAAGGTGGTGTGCAGGGGGGTTACAGTTACATAAGTCAGGTAAAGAGTACAGTTCTTTTTGCAAAATGTCACCCCTTCCCTCGCTTTCTCCCAGTTTTTCCCTCTCATCCCCACTCAAAAGTTGTATAATTCATTTTCAACATAATGTCTAGTGATTACTACAGCTGCATTTGTTCACCTTTTGTCCCTCCATTTCTGTGCCCTGCCTTACCTTCCCAAAGACAGATAAACAATACAAAAAGGAAGGAACAGCAGTACAGAAAAAAACTTGTTTCCATTTCGTGGAGTTCATTTTTATTTTATTTTCCAGTCCTGGGGCTAGGGGCTTGGGCACTGTCCTGAGCTACTTTTTGCTCAAGGCTAACAATTGAGCCATAGTACCACTTCAACTTTTTCTGTGATTAATTAGATCAGAGTCTCATGGGCTTTCCTGTCCAGGCTCTGGCTTTGAACTGTGATCCTCAGATCTTAGCCTCCTGAGTAGCTAGGATTACAGGCATGAACCACCAACACCCAGTGATAAATATTTTATGTAATTAGTTGCACATAGGCATTGCATCTTTGTGTGCTTCTCCTAAAACTATCCTCTGATCTCCCTGTGTGAGTGCCTAGAGTCCTATATAATTTGTGTCCAGGTATGTTTTAGATTTAGCTTCTGCATAGGAGAGGACCTTGAGTTCTTGCTTTGCTTTTTACACTTATGGCTGGCATGCATCCACTTTTGACTTTTTTGCTGGTTTATTGGAGAAAAGAATCTTGGCTTTTTCTACCCAGGTTGGCTTTGAACTGATTCTCCTCAGATCTCAGCCTTCTGAGTGAGTAGCTAGGATTATATGCCTGAGCTACCAGTGCCCAGCTCTGAAATCGGCTTTCTGACCTGTTTTGTCTAGGACTGTATTCATAGCATTGTCTTCATAAACAGTAGTCACACTTGATTTGTCATTTTTTTGTTGAAGGTAATCAGTTCACTAAGAATATGAATTCTCTCCCTCTACCCCCCACAGGTGCTACTGGGATTTGAATTAGGTCTGTCATGGTTGCTAGGCAGTTGCTTTACTATGAACCATGTCCCCAGCCATTTTTGTTTTAGTTATTTTTCAGATAGACTCTAGTCTCATATGTTTTTGCCTGTTGCCAGCCTGAATCCAAAATCCTTCCTGTAGCCACTAGCATAGCTGGAATTACAAGCATGAACTTTCTGGGCTGGCCTTGAACATCAGACCTCACAATATTCTGAGTAGCTAGGATTACAGCCATGAACCACCATGCATGCCCCATGCATACATTATAGGAGGCTGTTAATTTTTCATTAGCTATTTTGCTATTCCTCTGGCTCAATTACATGGTCCTGAGGAGCAAGAATAGAAATGGTACTGGGTGCTGGTGGTTCATGCCTGTAATCCTAGCTACTCAGGAGGCTGAAATCTGAGGATCACAGTTCAAAGCCAGCCTAGGTAGGAAAGTCCATGAGACTCCTATCTCCAATAAACCACCCGAAAACCAGAAGTGATGCTGTGGCTCCAGTGGTAGAGAGCTAACCTTGAGCTGAAGAGCTGAGGGACAGCGTCCAGGCCCAGAGTTCAAACCCCACAACTGACAAAATTTAAAAAAATAGAAATAGTGGTGGCCTTGACTGTCCTAAGTATGAGAAGATAGGGGAAAGGCCTCATTACTTTATGCTTATAAATCTTTTTATTATTTATTTATTTTGCCAGTTCTGGGGCTTGAACTCAGGGCCTGGGCACTGTCCCTGAGCTGCTTTTGCTCAAAGATAGCACTCTACCGCTTGCACAACAACACCACTTCCAGCCTTTTCTGTTTACATGGTACTGAGGAATTGAATCCAGGGCTTCATGCATGCAAGGCAAACATTATACCACTAAGCCACAATCCCAGCCCTCATAAATCTTTTTGTTTTTGTTTTTTTTTTGGGTCCAGTCGTGGGCCTGAACTCTGGGCCTGGGCGCTGTCCCTCAGCTCTTCAGCTCAAGGTTAGCACTCTACCATTTGAGCCACAGTGCCACTTCCGGCTTTTTTCTTTTTGCTTATGTGGTGCTGAGGAATCGAACCCAGGGCCTCATGCATGCAAGGCAAGCGCTCTACCACTGAGCCACCTTCCCAGCCCCCTCATAAATCTTTTTGCTCAAAGCATCTCCTAGAAATTGTGCCTAGATTTTTTTTCACATTTTAGTGTTTTGTTTTTAACAGTTTTATTGTTGTTTTTGTTGTTGTTGTTGTTGCATCATATAGAAGGGTTACCATTTCATAGGTCAGGTAATAAGTACATTTGTTTTGTGGACAAGGTCACCCCTTTTCTTTCTCCCAGTTTCCCTCTCCTGACCCTGACCACAAGTTGCATAGTTTATTTTCCACATAGTATATACTGAATTCGTTCACCACCCTTCCTCCATCTCTTTCTGCACCCCCAGTTTGTCCCTAAAGAAAGACAAAAAAAAAAGCAAAAACAATACCACTATCAATAGTAGCAAAAAACAAAAACACCACGTTTCCATTTCCTATTGCCTAGACAGAAATGTAGGCCATTCTTCAAGTATATGCTTCTTCCAGAATGTGCTCAAGTTCTATCCATTATGTTCTTTCCTATAGTTTCCCCAGGAAGAGAAATTTAATCTCTAGGTGGGAAACTAGAATTTAGCACCACCAGGTTCAGATTACTGGTCCAGGGTTTGTTATGTACCCTGCAGGCATAGATAGAGCAAGTAGAGTCCCCAGAAACATTTTCATGATGAAATGTAGAAAACTAAAATCTTAGCTGGGCGTCAGTGGCTCACGCCTGTAATCCTAACTACTCAGGAGGCTGAGATCTGAGGATTGTGGTTCAAAGCCAGCCTGGGCAAGAGAGACTGAGATTCCTATCCCCAATAAACCACTAGAAAAAAAAACCAGAAGTGGTGCTGTGGCTCAAGTGGTGGAGCGCTGGCCTTGAGCTGAAGAGCTGAGGGACAGTGCCCAAGCCCAGCCCACAACCGACAAAAAAAAAAAAAAAAGAAAACTAAAATCTTAGGAAATTCATAGATCAAGTGTGCAGCTCCAATTCTCTTGCAACTTAATCCAGAAGTAAAATTTGATTACAAATTATTTAATAATTTTCACCATTTGATGAGAAAGAGGTGATTTTAAAATTTTCACATACAACTGTTGAGATGGAAAAAAAAATCACCAGTGAGCAGTTTTATAACATTTTGAGCAAGTACTCATTTTTGTCTTTATTTTAAAAACCCTTTGAAGATTCCTAATTAACATATGCCATGAGCAGTTGTGCAACCGCGTGTGTTTATGTATGAATTTATTATCCAATTCATTATTGACATTTTATAAACATTTAAATCTATTTAATACTCTGTGGGTTTCTAAACATTTTTAACCCAATTAAAAATCTATCCTTGTTGGGTACAGTGACTCACACCTGTAATATCAGCTAGTTGGGAGTTGGAAATTAGGAAAATTGTGATTTGAGATCAGCCTAAGAAAAAGGTTAGTTAGATTTCATCTCAATAAACCAGTCATTGTGGTTCATGCCTGACATTCCAATTATTCAGGGGGCTATAGATAGGAAGATTTCATTCTGAGACCATACTCAGGCAAAAACACAAGACCTTAACTGAATAATAACTTCAAAATTGGGAGCAAAAAGGGCTAGGGGCAGGACAGGGAATGTGGCTCAGTGGTAAAGTGCTTACCTAGCATGCGTGAAGCCCTGGGTTTGATTCTTCAGTACCACATAAACAGAAAAAAACTGAAGTGACTCTGTGGCTCAAGCAAGCTAGCCTTGAGCAAAAGAAACTCAGGGACAGTGTCCAGGTTCTTGAGTTCAAGCAAAAAAAAAAAGGTGGGGGTGGGGGAGAGTGTAGGGGAAGGGCTTAACTCAAGCACTGGAACATAGCAAGAACTTAGCAAGAACAATGTCCTGAGTTCAAATAGCAGTGGGTAGTTTTATTACTGCCAAACTTTTTATTAGAAGTTTGCCCCCCCCTTTAGTTCAAGCCTCAGTGATGGCAAGACTAAATTAAAAATAAAATGATCATTGCTATAAAGGAATTGTTCAAAACCATTTTTTAAATTTTGTAATCAGTTTCACATGTTGATGACATCTATATTATAAATAAAGTCTGCCTTATCTTTCTAAAACGCTATAAAAAATTACTAAGGAAAACAACCTAGCTGGGGCTGGGAAAGTGGCTCAGTGCTAAAGTGCTTGCCTTGCATGCATGAAGCCCTGGCTTCAATTCCTCAGCACCACATAAACAGAAGAAGCCGGAAGTAGGTGCTGTGGTTCAAGTGGTAGAGTGCTGGCCTTGAGCTGAAGAGCTGAGGGACAGCGCCCAGGTACAGAGTTCAAGCTCCATAACTGACAAAAACAAAAAAACAAAACAAAAAAACCCGAGCCTTATGGTTAAAGGACAACTTGTACTCAAATCACAGTTTACTGCATAATTTTGAACAAGGTCTTAGTTTCTTTTCTCTAAAAGAAGTTATGAGGATTAAATAAATGTCTTAGAGTAATACCTGGCACATAATAAGTCATTAAAATAGTAGTTTGTAGATATAGCACTAAAAAGGATAAGGAGTTAGGGATTTTGAGTTTTTCCTTGTTTTCCTGTCAGAACTGGGGTTGGAACTGAAGACCTTGTGCTGTTTGGCTTGCTCTACCACATGAGCTACATCTGATGGTTGTTTGAGAGATGAAATCTTTCAGACTTTTCTGTCCAGGCTAGCTCTAAACTGTGATCCTCCAGATCTCAGCATCCTGAGTAGTTAGGATTACAGATGTAAACCACCAGCACCCTCCTTTTTTTTTTTAACTAAAAATTCATACATGAGACTTTGAAATTTTTCTGAAGTTCTGTACAAAAACCTCAGATTTTCTGAAAAGAGCCTCTGACCCTGACATTCAATATATAACCACACACAAGCAACATGTTATTATTTAAATTAAATTAAAATTAGATAAGTCCCTTCACTTACCCTAGCCATATAACAAGTGATTGCTAGTCATATTTTTTTTGGGGGGGGATCCAGTCGTGGGGCCTGAACTCTGGGCCTGGGCGCTGTCCCTCAACTCTTCAACTCAAGGCTAGTGCTCTACCACTTGAGCCACAGCACCACTTCCGGCTTTTTTTCTTTTTGCTTATGTGGTGCTGAGGAATTGAACCGAGGGCCTCATGCATACAAGGCAAGTACTTTTGCACTGAGCCACCTTCCCAGCCCAACTAGTCATATATTTTAACTAGAGCTTTTTTCAAATTCTTAGAGGTGTGTGGTCCAGTAAATTTAAGGAACTAATAATCTCAACATATATTTCTTAGCTTTGTATTTCACCTTTAAGTATTAAAATAACATTTAAAATCTAAGTATTGTTTTAAGAAATAACAATATTTTAAGAAATAACAAAAAAGGGGCTGGGAAGGTGGCTCAGTGGTAGAGTGCTTGCCTTGCATGCCTGAGGCCCTGGGTTCGATTCCTCAGCACCACATAAGCAAAAACAAAAAAAAGCCAGAAGTGGTGCTGTGGCTCAGGTGGTAGAGCGCTAGCCTTGACCTGAAGAGCTGAGGGACAGCGCCCAGGCCCAGAGTTCAAGTCCCACGACTGGACCTAAAAAAAAAAAAAAAAAAAGAAAGAAAAAAAAAACGCATCTATACCTTCATCCCTACTGGAAAGTTTTTGGGGTTTTTTGTTGGTTGTGGGGCTTGAACTCTGGGCCTGAGCACTGTCCCTCAGCTCTTCAGCTCAAGGCTGGCTTTCTACCACTTGAGCCACTGTGCCACTCCCACTTTTTCTGCTTATGTAGTGCTGAGGAATCGAACCCAGGGCCTCATGCATGTGAGGCAAGCACTCTACCACTGAGCCACCTTCCCAGCCCTCCTACTGGAAAGTTTTAAAGAACTTTCTGGCTTATATTGCCAGTGTGGTGCTATACTTATTTAATCCTAGCACCTGGTTGGCCATGGCAAGAGGATCCTGATTAGCCCAGCTTGAGCTACATAGTGAGATGTTGTCCTTAAAATCTCATGTACAGAAGCTGGATACCAGTAGTTCTCTCCAGTAATCTTAGCCACTGAAGAGGCTGATGTCTGAGGATCATGATTTGAAGCCAACTAGGGCAGAAAAGAAAAGACTTTTATCTCCAATTAAGCACCAAAACAAGAACAACAAAAGCCAGATGTAGAGTTGTGGCTCAAGTGGTTCAGCACTCACTAGCCTTGATCAAAAAACCTCAGAGACAATCTCCTAGGCCCTGGATCAGCAACAACAACAAAAAAGTCATGTATAGAAACTACACATTTTTTTTTAAAATTGAAAACATATGTAAGTAGATAAAGTAAGTCATTTATTGAAAATAATTTTTTCAAAGCAAAATAAACATGAAATTCTTAAAAAATTAAAATAAAAATTGGCTGAAAATTTATAGAGGTATTATGTTAAGGTATTATTAAAGTGTATTAATTATATTTTAAGCACCATTTGGATAATATAATAGAAAAAAAACTAAATATTAAGCTGGGCACCTATGGCTCATGCCTGTAATCCTAGCTACTCAGGAGGCTGGACGTGACATTGTGGCTCAAACTGGATGTGACATTGTGGCTCAAATGGTAGAGCACTAGCCTTGAGCTGAAGAGCTCAGGGACAATGCTCAGGCCCAGAGTTCAAGCCCCATGATGGACTCAAAAAAATAAAAACTTAAAATTTAATTAGTGATCTGTTTCTTGCTCTCATTTACCTGGAATCTTGCCTTTTACAGTGAATAGGAGTTTTTATACTAATAACTTTCCAAACTAGCAAATACCAGTCATTATTCAATGTACAAAACAATTTTGGGCCTGTGCTAGTGGCTCATACCTATAATCTTGGCTATTGAGGAGACTGAAGATAAAGATCACAGTTCCAAGCCAGCCTGGAGAGGAAAGTCCATGAGACTCTATCTCCAATTAACCAGGAGCTGGAAGTGGAGCTGTTGTTCAAATGGTAGAACACTAGCTTTGAGCTAAAAAGCTAAGCCCCCAGGCTTCTGAGTTTAAGTCCCAGTACCTGCACCAAAAAATAAAATTAATTAATTAATTTATTAAACCTATCCAATCCCTAAGATTGAATACTTTATAAATCTTTCTTGTATCTGCTACTTTTTCAAGCCCTCCACCTAGGATTTGGGATAAGGAACCTGATTATACGATACAAAAAAATCTGGACATGTGCTAACAACCGTGTCATCTATAAAACTTTGTTCAATATTAGAAGGAAGATGTATTGACAAAATACTGTGGGAAGACAGTGTGATTCCAGACAAACCTTGGAGTTATGTTGGAGATACATTGGTAAAACCCAGGAAAGGAGTTTGACCTGGTAAACGGTATCTGAAGAATGGCAATGGCAACTTTAAGCATAACTACCATGTGATCAGCTCTAAGAAGAGTGAGTCTTAGATCCCATCTTGTTCTTTGCTCATTTTCCGAAGCGTTGTATTCATTTGCTTTCTCATGGTTGTCTCCATTCTTGTCACTGATATTGCTCCCATCCCTGACACCTGATGTCAGCCCTTCCTCCTCAGCAATACCAAGGCCATCACCGGCTTCCAGACTTGGATTAACTGCTCCATCCAGCTGCCATCTAGAGTGAACCTGGATAATTGGCATCCATTCCATTTTTTGCCCCAGCCCTTCTTAGAAAGGATTTAAATTTTTTTCTAGCATGCTTTTTTTCTACCTTATCCTATAGCCCTTCTTTCTGGTGAACATATTTCTATCTGACGTCATTTAGTAAGTGATTTTTATCTGACTTGCATATTTAATGAATGAAACATTTGTGTAATTCTGTTTCAATAAAGTCCTCTTTTGTGTATTTTTATTTATTTTTGTGCTAATACCAGAGCTTGAACTCCAGTCTCAGTATGTTCTTGCTCAGCTTGTTTGCTCATGACTGACACTTTACCACTTGAGTAATACTACTTTCTAGCTTTTTTCTGGTTAATTGGAGATTGGAGTCTCTCATATTTGTCTGCCCAAGCTGGCTCTGAACTATGATTCTCAGATCCCTGCCTCTTGAGTAGGTAGGATTATAGGTGTGAGTCACAGTGCCCCGCTTGTAAATTCCTAACTGAAAGTATATATTAACTTGCCAATAAAACAGAAGGTTAAGATGAATCAGTTATTTTACCTCTCCTCTGACAGGGTCTGGGCTACTGACAACAGCTGACTCTGCAACGGAAGGATGCTCCATCAAGACACTTTCTACTTCATATGGTCCAATTCGGTAACTGCGAAAGCACATGTCAACAGGAATTTATAAGGCTGAGTTAGGTTCATTCTGTAATGCCACTGATTAGTTCACAGAGGCAGTAAAGAAAATTACCCTGAGGATAATATGATATCATCTGATCTTGCAACAAACCAGAAATATCCATCTTCATCCATATACCCTCTGTCTCCAGTTATATAGAAATTGCCTCGTATAGTTGAAGCTGTCTTTGAAGGATTATCCTGTAAAACAGGTAGCATTATCATGGATATGACTGTTTTAATATGTTAAAACTTTAACTATTCAAAGAAAAAGAGTTGGACTTTTTTAAGAAGCCTTAGAATGAAGAGGAGCCAGAGTGTGAAATAAGGATAAAATTCCAACAGGGAGCTAGTACAATATAAGAAAGGTAAAAAAGTAAAGTGTGGCCAGATGCTGTTGGCTCATGCCTGTAATCCTAGCCACTAAGGAGGCTGAGGATCTCGGTTCAAAGCCAGCTCAGGGAAGGAAAATCCATGAGACTCTTATCTCCAGTTAACTACCAGAAAACTGGAAGTGGCGCTTAAGTGGTAGAGTGCTAGCTTTGAGCTGAAGAACGAAGGGACAGTGCTCAGACCCAGAGTTCAAGCCCCACAACTGACCAAAAAAAAAAAAAAAAGACTAGGCACACTAGTTGAGAATTTTCTTAGCTAGATCACAAGATAAATGGTGCAGGAACGCAGAACTCCAGCAGTTGGCTAATTAAATAATATTGAATTGCTGAATAATACCTCATAGTATTAGGAAAAGAAAGAAGTGAATATTCACAGTTAAAAGAAAGCAACAGGGGCTGGGAAGGTGGCTCAGTGGTAGAGCGCTTGACTTGCATGCATGAGGCCCTGGGTTCGATTCCTCAGCACCACATAAGCAAAAAGAAAAAAAAAGCTGGAAGTGGCACTGTGGCTCAAGTGGTAGAGCGCTAGCCTTGAGCTGAAGAGCTGAAGGACAGTGCCCAGGCCCAGAGTTCAGGCCCCATGACCAGACCTCCCCCCCCAAAAAAAAAACCAAAAAAACAAAAAAAAAAAAAGAAAAGGAAGAGTAAGCTGGAAAACAAAAGGCCTTTCTGCCTAAAAGCAGGGGAACTTCAGACGTGTGTGTGTGTGTGTGTGTGTGTGTGTGTGTGTGTGTGTGTGTGTGTATGGTATATGGTTTGATAGTCCTTTCCTCTTCATCCTGCTCCTTCTTGTTGACATTCTACAAATGATAAGTTCTGTAACTAGGGAGGCTTCCACAAAGGAAAGAAAAGGGAGGCTGAGCTATGTCTGTAGCTCTGAGCCCAGTAGTTGTAGTAAGAAAATATAATCTCTTTGTATATTATGTGATCTTTTATTTAAAGAATCTAAAGATTTTACCCCCAAATTCATATCTGATAAACATGTTTGGCAATGTAGCAGGATAGAGAATCAACATATCAAAAAATCAGAAGCTTTTCTGGATACTAATAGTGAACAGGCTGAGAAAGAAATCAGGAAATCCACACTTCAGACTGCTCAAGACAGTAGCAAAGGGTGTAAGACACACCTCAGATTGTTCAAAAAAGTAGCAGAAGGTGTGAATATGTTTTGAGATTGCTATATGTTATCTCAAAGTCTTTAATGGTCGGACACTGGACACAAGTGGCTCACGCCTGTAATCCTAGCTACTCAGGAGGCTGAGATCTGAGGATCGCGGTTCAAAGCCAGCCCGGGCAGGAGAGACCGTGAGACTCCTATCTCCATTAAACCACCAGAAAAACAGAAGTGGTGCTGTAGCTCAAGTGGTAGAGTGCTCGCCTTGAGCTGATAGAGCTGAGGGACAGCGCCCAGGCCCACAGTTCAAGCCCCATGACCGACAAAAAAAAAAAAAAAGAATGTAATCTTTAAAAATTGAAGTATACTTCAATTCGTAAAAGAAATTATTTACTTTTCTTACTGCATAAAGTATTATTGAGTGCACATTACCAAAATGTAAAAGAAGACTAGAATGTTGCTGAAATTTCACCACTGAATGCTAATCACATTTTGGTAATAACTTTTAAGACAATACAGACATAAGAAAAATTAGCATCACTTATAATATAGGGAATAACACTAGAAAGTGTGTGTACCAACCTTAACATCAAAAGCAGGAGAAGCCTTTCCCATTGAGCCGGGCTTAATTTTCATTCCCTTAAAATTTCCACAGATTAGCACCTAGTTATGAAGAAGAAAAATAAGATAACGTTATCGTATATTATATATTCATTGTACAAATATTTGCTTTAAGAACTTACTATGAACCAAAACCAAAATTAAGTCTCTCTTTTTTCATGGAGTATAGAGATTGACAATAACTTACAAGTGTATATAATAAAATTTTTGAGAGAATAAATTCATAATTGCTAAACTATCCATTATTATGAAAACAATGAGAATATTAACATTTGTACTTGTATTCATATGATAGTTGTTGTGCTCATTATATTTTGCTTTTAATTTTTTGGAATTTTTGCCCAGGTAATAATTCTCAGGGTTTATAGATTGAAACATTATAGAAAGATACACCATAAAAAAATTTCAACCTTTTCCTTATTTTCACTGTCTTATCCCTCCCTCTGGTACAAAATAACAACTTTGTTCTTACTTCATTCATTGCCTATAGAATTCCTAAGAGCTCTTGGAAAATCCCCTTTAAAGTTGCTTACCAACTCCTTAAGAATTGAGTGTTTAAGGAAACAAGATGCTCAGCCAGTTTTCCACTTTGTGACAGCCCCGATTATTGCTCTCGACACAAATTCAATGGAATTTCATATTGTGGATCGTGGGACTTGAACTCAGGGGTGCTGTCCCTGAGCTCTTTTTGCTCAAGGCTAGTGCTCTATCACTTCTGAGCCACAGCTCTACTTTATCCCCAAGGGAGCTCTGCTCTTTGGGTTGTGTTTATGTGTATGCCTTGCTGAGGCTTGGTCTCCACCCAACATGTGCCTGCTGTTTTTAAAAGCTTGGCTTAAGCTTTGTTTGAGGCTGCAGGTCTTTGTAATTAGCCACCTACAGATCACTAGCACTCCAATAAAGACTCCAAAATCCAACCCCTCAAAAAGAAAATATTGTGATGCTGGGTACCAATGGCTCACATCTGTAATCTTAGCTACTAGTTTCTCACAGGTTTTACTTTAAAAAAAGAAAATCTGATTCCTAACCACATCACTTACTCCCTTATCCTTCAAACATTCTAAGACATAATAGACATTTTGATTTTTACTTATCTAACCCAACTGTCCAGTCTTATCTTTTCAGGAAGGTCAAGTACCGTTTCTGTTTGTCCATATCCGTTATAGATGTCCAGGCCAGTCAGGTTTTTCCATTGTTCAGTCACTTCAGGATTGATTGGCTCCCCTGCACTCACACAATGCTTTAAGCTTTTGAATTTGTAGCTTCTCAGACAAGAGATAGCACATTTAAGATTAAGAGAAAAAAATGGGAAGAATTAGAAATTAGAAGTGTTGTTCATACCAAATAAACATAATTCTAGTATAAAATTATACCAGTTTTGCTTTTTGTTTTGGGTTGTAAAGCCATGTCATCCTTAGGGAAGGTATACGATAATAACATTTTAAATTAACAGTTAAAATTTCCCTTACATTTATTTATAAGCCTGAAGTTGTGGGTGCAGTGAATTGTTCTTTCTTTTCAGATGAACAATCAATGCATACATATGGAATCAATAATTTTTAAAGCATGTATTCTTTTTTTCTATTTGCTGGGATAAGATTCTAGATAGGAGCAACTTCTTTATTGTCACAGTTCGGAAAACATCCATCATCCAAAAGATTAAGAAGTTTCTTATCTCTCCAGTTTTTACTAGCACCTGTTATTTGTACAGGGGGTTCATTTTGACAGTCAATTTATGGGTACAATATACTTGATCAGTCTAACTCCTTGCATCTCTCTCCATCATACTCTCACCTCCTCAAACCAATCTTAATTCATTGTTTCATTTTCACATGTGTACATGAGGTGTTTTAGCGTTTTAACCACATTCTCCTTTCTTTACCCTCTGTTGGCGTTTTCTCCTTCTCATTCGTATCCATACAGGTCTCAGACAGGACCTGTTTTACTTTCTGATCATTCATTTTTGAAAGTATATGCTGCTGGGCACTGGTGGCTCATACCTGTAATCCTAGCTACACAGGAGGCTGAGATCTGAAGATTGCCATTCAAAGCCAGCCTGGGCAGGAAAGTCCATGAGACTCTCATCTCCAATTAACTACCAGAAAACCAGAAGTGGTGCTGTGGCTCAAGTGGTAGAGCACTAGCCTTGAGTTGAAGAGCTGAGGGACAGTGCCCAGGTCCAGAGTTCAAGCCCCATGACCAACCAAAAAAAAGAAAAAAAGTATATGCTTTCTGATAATAGGTGGCTCACTCCTGTAATCCTAGCTACTCAGGAGTCTGAGATCTGGGGATCATGGTTTGAAGCCTATAATTACAAACATATATAAATTACATAATAAATTATATAATTATATATTATATTGTGTATATTATATGTGATATAGTATAATTATATATTTAGTATATAATTATATATTATATATTATCACATAATATATAACAGTGTATTAGGGTTCCTTTCCTTGGATCCTAACCAGCATGTGTTGTTACTTGTGTCCTTGATGATGATCATTCTGACTGGAGAATTTCATCTCAGTGCCATTTTGATTTTGATATGCATTTTTTAACAGCCAGGGCTATTAATCATTTCTTTATGTATTTATTGGACATTTGTATTTATTTCATGAATTATCTGTTCAGTACATTTGCATATTTATTAATTGATTCTTTGGGATTTTCATTTTTTCTTCTTTTAGTTGTACCTCTGTGTAAATATTTTGCTCTCTGTCAAATATACAGCTGGCAAAATTTTCTTCCAATCTGTTTGCTGTCTCTTCAGTTTAGTGACTATTCCCTTTGCAGCACAGAAACTTTTTGATGCAGTCTTATTTGTCAGTCCTTGCTCTTAGAGATACTCGAGTTCTATTCAGAAAGTTGCTGCCTTATAGGACATTGATGGATCACACCTGTAATCCTAGCTACTCAGGAGGCTGAGATCTAAGGATTGTGGTTCAAAGCCAGCCCCAGCAGGAAAGTCCATGAAACTCTTATCTCCAATTAACCACCAGAAAGCCGGAAGTGGCTCGGTGGCTCAAGTGGTAGAGCACTAGCCTTGAGCTGAAGAGCTGAGGAACAGCACCCAGATCCAGAGTTCAAGCCCCACAACTGACAAAAAGCAAAGTTGCTGCCTATGCCAGTATGTTCCAATGTTTTCCCTATTATTTCCTGTAGTAGTTTCAAAGATTGTTACATTAATATCCTTTATCCACATTGAATTTATATTAGTATAGGATAAGAGATAGGATTCCAGTTTCCCTTAGGTTATCTTCTCTTCAATATATATTTTGGGCTTCTTTGTCAAAATATAATATAAGATTGTTGTTGCTGTTTGTATTTATTTCTGGGTATTCTATTCTTTTCTGTTGTATTCTATTCAGATGTTCCTTTCTACTCTGTTGCTCATGCATGGGGATACCTCCAAGACTGATGTTTTTGTTTTGTTTTGTTTTCTCAAGGTTTTTTTTTTTTTGGCTATTTAGGGTCATTTGTGCTTCAATAGGAATTTTAGGACTAAATTTTCTATTTCTATGAAGAATTGTGATCTTGATGGGAATTGGATTAAATCGGTAGATTACTTTGGGTATCATAACCATTTTCTTAATAATTCTTTCAGTCCATGAGCAAAGAAGTCTTTTCCTTTTCTGGTGTCTTCAATTTTCTTCTTCAAAGTTTTATGGCTTTTATCTCTGTTAAGTTTACTCCTAAGTAAATGCCTAGACTGTTGTGAGGCTGTTGTGAATGTAGTTCATTTCCTGATTTATTTTTCTGGCAAGGCAAAATTTACTTTTGCCAAAGAGTGTACCATTAGCCAAAAATCTTGCAAGCAAGCACGCAAAGCATAAAGACGGATCCCTGTTAATCCCTAATGCTGCAAGCCCTGCCCCTCTGCTCAAATTGGCCAAGCTCAGAATCACAATCTGCTCACACTTGGCTAGTTTGAAGAGGGTAGGATGCAACAAATATACAGTTTTACATCTTATAAAGTAACCATTAAGGGGCTGGGAAGGTGGCTCAGTGGTAGAGGGCTTGCCTTGCATGCTCGAGGCCCTGGGTTCGATTTTTCAGCACCACATAAGGAAAAAGAAAAAAGCCGGAAGTGGCGCTGTGGCTCAAGTGGTAGAGTGCTAGCCTTGAGCTGAAGAGCTGAGGGACAGCGCCCAGACCCAGAGTTCAGACCCCACAACTGGACCCAATAAATAAATAAATAAATAAAGTAACCATTAAAAGCCTTTTGGGGGCGGAGGGGAGTGGGTCGTGGGGCTTGAACTCTGGGCCTGGGTGCTGTCCCTCAGCTCTTCAGCTCAAGGCAAGTGCTCTACCACTTGAGCCACAGCACCACTTTTGGTTTTCTGAGTGTTTATTGGAGATAAAAGTCTCACAGAGTTTGGGCTGGCTTTGAACCATGATCCTCAGATCTCTGCCTCCTGAGTAGCTAGGATTACAGGCGTGAGCCACTTGTGTCCAGTGTCCGACCATTAAAGACTTTGAGATAACATATAGCAATCTCAAAACATATTCACACCTTCTGCTACTTTTTTGAACAATCTGAGGTGTGTCTTACACCCTTTGCTACTGTCTTGAGCAGTCTGAAGTGTGGATTTCCTGATTTCTTTCTCAGCCTGTTCACTATTAGTATCCAGAAAAGCTTCTGATTTTTTGATATGTTGATTCTCTATCCTGCTACATTGCCAAACATGTTTATCAGATATGAATTTGGGGGTAAAATCTTTAGATTCTTTAAATAAAAGATCACATAATATACAAAGAGATTATATTTTCTTACTACAACTACTGGGCTCAGAGCTACAGACATAGCTCAGCCTCCCTTTTCTTTCCTTTGTGGAAGCCTCCCTAGTTACAGAACTTATCATTTGTAGAATGTCAACAAGAAGGAGCAGGATGAAGAGGAAAGGACTATCAAACCATATACCATACACACACACACACACACACACACACACACACACACACACACACACACGTCTGAAGTTCCCCTGCTTTTAGGCAGAAAGGCCTTTTGTTTTCCAGCTTACTCTTCCTTTTCTTTTTTTTTTTTTGTTTTTTTGGTTTTTTTTTTGGGGGGGGAGGTCTGGTCATGGGGCCTGAACTCTGGGCCTGGGCACTGTCCTTCAGCTCTTCAGCTCAAGGCTAGCGCTCTACCACTTGAGCCACAGCGCCACTTCC